GTTCTGCGAGCGAAACCGAAATTACAGGAGTATATTTTATAAAAGGGGATTAGAAAAATGAGAATTGGTACAAATTGCATTACAAATAAATACAATACGTACCATACCATGATGTCCATCCCCTCCCTCCTCCCTTTCCCCCAAAGCTATCAGCGGGGATTTTCCACTGCCTAAGTATTATCTACTGTGCCGATCGAGAACCTTCTGTAGAAGTGTCCGATAATCATTTGTACCGGACAAAACCGTTTGGTTTAAGGTTTCCAGGAATATTGTCATTGAATCTCGGTAAGAGAAACGCTGCAGTCATTGCCTTTTTTACCCACCTTTATCAGTCCTTATAACGGACAATACCCCAATGATAGTGTTGATATCCGCAAGTCTGAAGTCGACAGTTGAATTTGAGAGAGGCCGCGGGCAAGAGCTAAGATATGCATATGTTTGATTAATGAGACAGGAAAGCGTAATCTCTGCTTTGAAACAACTATTGCAAATCACGTTCTTCTGGCGAGGACACCATGTTTGCGCATTTTGCGAATCGCCGCGACTCGCGAAAAAATAGATCGCGAGAATAATTCTTCTGGCGAACGAGTCGGGCAAAACGTCAACGCTTCGAAAGCTACCTTTAGATACTGCGCTCCATTCAGCAAAAGTCTAACAACGGGAAAACACGCATTTAAAAGGTTTTCAAATAATCATTATACACACGTTCTATTAATAACGTAAGCAGGATAAATATTTGAACGAAAATAATGTAATAAGGCGGAATTTACGATTCAAAATAAATTTATTTTACACCTTGTTTTTTCAATTCGCGAAAATGAGAATTCGGGAAAACTTCCACATTTTCAACTTTTGCCCGATTCGTGAAGCTTTAGTTGGTTTCTACACTTCTATTTTAGGAGTGAAGGGAAGGCTGAGCCGGCTTTCAGAACTGATCTAAAGGCGCAAGTACAAAAGAGTGCGTTAAAAGAAGAGCCCCATTATTATAATTATTATCATTATCACCATACTCATTATCATTCTAATTATTATCATTCTTCTTCTTATTATTATTACTATTAGTAATATTATAGCAGCCATTTTTAGCGAGTTTCACAGCTCATTCCATGCGTGTTTCGTTTACGTACGTCATGGCCCGATAAATTCACCGGGAACGTTTCTCCTCTATATTTAGCGAGAAATCACAGTGTTCTGACAGTGGCAGAGTCAACGTTATTAGATTAGCTCAGTTACGGAACTGCTTATAGAGGCTGCATGCACGAGCAGTAACCCCCCCCCCCCTCACTCACCCCGACTGGCCTCCCGTCGTTCGAAGCGCCTGACGGCTGTTATGATAATTGCAAAGTATTCTGTGGAATAGGTATGTTTCGAAGCGCAGCGCCTAGATGGCGCTGCACCGTACTCTAAGGAACACACAGTTCGCAAACGAAAATCTAGATGACGCTTCGAACGACGGGAGGCGGACTGAAGTGAGTGAACGGGGGTACCGCCTTCCGCGGGATTCGCACAACTGAGCGAATCTAGTAACGTTGGTCAGAGTGTCAAGTGACGTCATGTAACAACGTCACGATTTTTCCACTAAATGTATCGAATAATAATTTCTGCTAAAAATTCCAGGAAAATACGTTCGCTAGATAGAGCGGAAAATATTGCTACTTAGCTGGAACTTAGCGTCACGTGACATCATGGCATCACGTGACGTCAGAGTTTCGCGTGTTAACGTGTCGCATACGAACACAATGCACTAAATATGAAGACGTAACTGTATGTAGAGTTTCAGCTCTCGCCCCAGTTCATTGCGGGACACGGGAACACACAGGTAATGTATTTTCTATAGAATATGAATTGTAGCAATATGATTAACTTAATTTTTTTTTGTCTTTTGAGTGTGCCGCCCTTTCACAAACGGTTTGTGCATTCATCCATCGACTTTCGTCCATCCATCAGAGTCCATTTATCTTTTTTTGCCTTTTTGCTTTTAAGTGACCTAATTTAGAAACTGAGTGTAAAAAAAAAAAAAGGCGGTTGATGTCCCACTCACGTTTATAGAAAATAACCGCATATCGCATCGAGAAACTACCACAACAGTTGTTCTGCCTTAACAGTCTCGGTGAGCGAACCGTCATGGTGCCTAAACCGTACTGGCGACTCATTGAACCGCCTGCTGCCTCTACACAGGACTGAATGCTGGTCAGCGAATTCTGGAGAATGAACTCTGTTAACTAAAGTTTCTCCAGGGCAGGAGAAAGAGAGCAGACGGAAGCAGGTGTTCCAAGGCTGCGATGGTTCATATATTGCAGGCCTTTTAATCTTGGCTAGCTGAGCTAAAATTGGGCTAAAATTATTTTACTTTCGTCTTCAAAATACCTTTGAAATTGATAAATCCAAGTATGTTTCTTTTTCTAATACTAGAGCAACCAGGCATAAACACAGTAAGACTAATAGACCGCTTTTACCAACCTGTTTTACTACGTCGACGCTGCCGCAATGCATCGAGGGAACTTTAGTTCTTCCGCACGTGCGGTAACCTTACTGGAGCACTGCGGGTGTAAAGCTGAGTCGTCACAGGCACGCTCGTGCCCAGCCGTCTGCCTCCTGTGAACTAAAGTTATGGCGGCGTCACGCATGCGCTGAACGCTTAGTGCGATCTGTCTATTGTCTGAACATTACTTTAGAAAAATATGGTTGCAATCTAGGAGGTTGGGCAGCGAAGCTGTGGTATCACCTGCAAGGATTTCCCACAACACTATAGACCCTTTCTATGGCAAATGCCACCAGGTGGTGCTCCTGTCTTTGACGTCCCTGAAAACTTCCGGTTTATAAAAAAAATAAACAAAGGCCATCTTAACACCGCTGCTTGAAATGTAGACTTTAATTTCATTTCATTCAATTTATTATACCGTGAAGGCCTCGAGGGGTATCACATAAGGAGGGTAATTTATAGCACATTCAGACACAGAATAAGGTGTATAAAAAGGTAGAAAGCAACAAAAGAGAACAGTCATAATAAACAATTATTTGCAACACTTTAGTTAGAAAACGCATGCTGAGTGAGCGCTGTGATAAAGAAGGAATGATCAATGATTGTTACAAAAGACTCCGGTAATGCATTTCAGTCAGTCATGCACAAGATGAGAGGCGAGGTTTTTAGGTAATTATTTCTAGCAGAGGGCAGCCCGAGTTTATGGCAATGGCCACGACGAAGCGAAATGTGACTGGCTGGTGAGAGAATTTGCGGTCAGTTCAGGGGTTGTAGAATATGTTATGAAAAAAAGATGGTCGGTCAACAGCGCGATTCTCTTTAAAAGGAGGTAATGAGATTGAGACCTCGAGTGCTTTAATGTTCGCGGGCGAGTAGTCGTGAAGAATGAAGCGAGTCGCACGGTATGGAATAGATTCTAGCATGTCGGAAAGATACGTTTGATGAGGATACCAGATGGTAGAAGCGTATTCAAGTTTAGACTTAATGGAGGTGCAGTATGATAGCTGTTTGACCTGTGATGTAGTCTGATACAGATGATGTCTTAAAAAATCCCGAAGTTTTACTTGCGTCTGAAGCTTATTTTCAACATGCGTTGTCCAATACAAATCATGACTTAAATGCAGGCTTAGGTTTTTGAAAGAAAAGACATTCTCTGTTGAATTCGGTTTGAGTTTGTAAAAAAAAACGAAAGCCGTTTACAACTCCCTGTAACGCCGAATTAGAGCGCAGCTCTTGAGGAGGAGGACGGAAGGCTACTGAGGGTGACGTGTTCTCGGGGGGGTCACGTGACCTGGGGCAGGGGTCACGTGACCTTGGATGTCACGTGACCCCCTCCTCGAGGTCACGTGGGGGGTCACGTGACCTCAAGGGAAGGGGTCACGTTACCCCCACAGTAATTTTTCCGCTAGATTTAGCGGGGAAACTTTCCCGTTAGATTTAGGGCGGAAGTTTTTCCGCTAGATTAAGCGGGGAACTTTTCGCGGTACATTTAGGGGGGAAATTTTCCTCTAGATTTAGCGGGGACAATTGTCCGCTGGATTTAGCGGGTAAAATTTTCCGCTAAGTTTAGCGGGGAAATTTTTCCGCTAGATCTAGCGGGGAAATTTTTCTACTAGATCTAGCGGGGAAATTTTTCCGCTAAATTTAGCGGGAAAATTTTTCCACTAGACTTAGCGGGGAAATGTTTCCGCGAGACGCAAGCGGCAGTTCATGTATTAAACAGCAGAAGGGTCTATACCATATGATTGACGAAAGAAAAGTAAATGCACTGTACCAAAACTTCTTTAGATATGAAAGACTTCGGACGCTGCCGTTGCCGCGGCAGCTTATGCAACCGCAATCTTTACCGAGGTACCAATGCGCGGAGTGCTACGTGCTTATCATCGTTCGCGCGCGCCTTATTATCTATCGCAAAGTTTTTACACTTTATTCGCGGTTTTGTTATTGAAACAAGTATCGAAACTCCACGATAAATGATAATGCGCCCGCGAATAGTGATAAGGCGCGTGTGACGGTTTACTCTTGTCTGACACAAAAAAACCCGACCTATGACGAGTCATATACAGCTTCCCTGTAAAATGATTATTTTCGGTATTCTCCCTTTGGAGTGGCAGTATTTTCAAATAAGAAAATAAATGAATATTAATGATACTGCATTTCTTTCGTACGTGACTGCTTTAGCGGGTTATAAAATGTTCGCGAAAATCACGAGTTCCGTGACTCTACACTTTTGGCGCAGACTTGGTAACATCAATCTAATCGTATATAGTCGGCCGCGTGACAAATTTATCTAAAAATTCCACCTTTGTGCCGGACCTCGCGCCGACTCCATCGTTTTTTTTTCATTCCTGGCACCCCAGTTGGTGACAGCACGTTTTACGCACGGTTATCTAACCTTGAGACACGGGACGCCGTATCAGTTCGGTTCAGTTGACGCGAGCGACATTGGGGCCGCGACGCCAAACACCACCCCTTCCCGATAAGATATTAGACGCTATTGTCTTCTGCAACCGATGAGTCCAACGCAACCATCGTCGCCGATAACGATGAACCGAGGATTAGGTCCCACTTCCGTTTTTTCCTCCAACTCACATTGGGCGATATAGGCCTTGCAGTGTCACGTATCCGCTGCGGATCTGCATCATCATTTCGATTTTCTCCCTTACACCTGAATACTAATTGTGGGACTCGCTGCTTACGGCACGCAGGACATGTCCGCCGGCTACTAGAATTCAGCCGAAAGCCTCTTCATCATTCGCTTAGCGCCAAGATGGCGCTACGGCGCGCTAGGTCGGCACGTCTCTGGCTTCTGGGATTGACTTTTCTGGTTGGAGTCACGAACGGCCAAACCGGTGAGTTCTCTATCACTTCCATTGCGTATGAAAAGGGTTCGCTATGGAACATTCCAATAGACCCGGCTTTCAAAATGCTGCCCTCTGTTGGCACCTCTAGAATCACTGCACAATGGCGTACTAACACCGCAACGCCACAGTGTTAGTCATGACGAGGCACTTTATAATGTGCCACTTGCCCGGGTTGACCAAGCTGCCGAGGACAGACTTTCTCTCGTCATTTTTTGTTATCCGTGTACCGGCTCAAGCGAGTCCCTTTTATATTGAGTCACTTTTTACGTCGCACGAGAAACGTTATTGGGGAGTAGTACTAATTGATATAAAAGCAGCCTTTCACCTGTCCCCAAACACGCAGGATTCAACGCAGACATTGAGCAAAGCGCACCGTGTTACGCAGATTGCGGGACACACCAATCGGCAATGTAGTAAGTCCTTAATAAAGAGCAAAAGCAAAATACAAAAAAAAAAAAAAAAGATATGCTGACTAGATGGGATCTTCCACGAACTGACCTTCGACAAGTTTCTTTATGACGAGTTGACACTGGACTAGTTGGCCTAGACCAGTGCATTCGTGTAGTACGCGAAACCTCAGCAACTTGCACAGGTTTCACAGTTTTGCGTCCCAAGATTCCAGTGTCCGGCAAGCACAACGGACGCCCCCCAGTGTTGAAAATATTTCCTTTTTGGAAATTACACCGATCCTATAGGTCATTTACGTAAGGTAACAGTTCTTTTTTCATACCAATAAACCCATAGTCCCAGAAAGTTAAACCCTCAAGAGGGTTTGTCAAAATCGAAAAAAAAAAAAAATAAAATCAAGTTGCAAGACCTACCTGCAACAGACCTCCTACAAAAAAGCTTCATAAATATAAAATGTTCATTTACAGCTTCTTTTTTTGGGTATGTGTGTCTGTGTTTGTTTTTGCTGATGTTGTTGTTGTTGTTAATGTGGTTGTTGTTATTGTTGTTTTCTTTTTTGATGTTGTTCCTTCGGAGCACAGCCCTCAGTGAACTCTCCGGAAGGACTCTTTTTTAAGAGCGAAGCTCCTTAGGATCTAGCCTTGTCCGGCGTCCGTGGTCACATCGATTGCACTGCCTCCGAAATCAACCCACTTAAAAAAAAAAAAAAAATTGTAGGCTTGCACGGAGGTTTTAACTCAAGACCGCTTGCTTACGACGAGGCAGACGTCCCAACCACTACGCTACACTTTTGTTTTTAGAACGTTGCATGTAGCCGCTCAACGTCTATACAGGAGAAGGCGTTGCGGTCAAATGCGTATATAATCGTGTTAAACTCTGCATATTGGCTCAACGTTTATAGACGAGAGGGCGCTGCGGTCAAATGCTCAAATGCGTATAAAACCACGATCCATACCACACATTCTCTTTCTGACATGGACCGTTGACTTAAGCGGTGGAGATGCGTTCCCACGGCTTCTAGCGGATCCAAGCTTATCCGCTAGAAGAACCACTGGCTCTGCATTTCACCGACCATAAAGCAGGAATAATGAAGTCGAAACGCAACCCGGAACTCAACACACTACCTATGAGCAATAAAAAAAAAAAATTAGCACTACCAGAGTTTTGCCCTAATCAACATCATTCATCACGTGGAGATGCGTCCATTTTTTTTCGAACCACATAATTTATCTGATTTTCTTCTCGTATCAGTACGAAGACGTTTTCTCGGGTATTCGAGTTACGTGTATGTTACTCAGGAGGTCAATGAATACCGTGCCCGTGCCTCATTTTATACAAGCTTAGCTCCGATAAACCCGGATTACTTGTTCGACATCAAAAATTAATACCGAACAAAAAACAGGCATTCTTCATGAGAAGAAAGTTCTTATCTGCACTTTAATCTTGTATTGAATCAGAGCAGGATAAGGTCGAACTCCCACATGAACCGTGATTAAGGCTGCATTCTTCTTGGGAACTACAAGGCCTTCCTTTGATGATAATGCAAATATTGCAATCGTGCAAGCGAGCGGGACATGAATGACGATAACAAAATTTCCAGTCGCGCACTCGTCACTTAGATGTGTTTGTCCTTTGTCCCCTTGTTCGCTTTTTCAAAGGATTATTGTTGTTATCTCCCTTCCCTGACTTATCGGTACTAAAGTCATTGGATCTGGGAAAGTAGCGGCATTGCCTTTTTATCTGCCAGCCGGACACAAACAAATACCAACATACAGACGACAAAACCTCTTACGGTGATTGGCTCATCGCTGTCGGTTGCCATCGTGATCGCCATTTTGGACTCTTTCAATCCTTCGAACCTTCGAAAGGGTGGTCATAACCAGTCGCACCAAGATCGCCATGGAACATAATCATAATCAAAGCGTTCCTCAGCCAATGTGAGCCCTTTGGCACTGTGCATACAATAAACCTTTCACTCATGCTTATTTCACCAGATCTCTTACAATTATGTTGCTCCCCTTGAGTGTTTCGAGACAGTCAAATTATTTTTCAATGCCTCCAAGCGCTGATGTTGCTTGTGAAGGCTGTACCAAGATGTATGGTTTAAATAACGGGACAATTTTGACGACCTTTGAGTCACTAGGAAGAGAATGATAAAACAAAGATTGCGAAAATATTGAGGACAATATGACACTGGAAATGGCTTTCGTATTCATTAAAACCTTTGAAATAATTTCGTCTTCAACACTCAAAAAAGAAACCTTCAAGTTATCAATTAGTTTTACAACACCAGATGAATGAATCGTTTTTCTTTCCATTTGATCATGTTCAAAACACGCATCCCAAATATACAGGGCCGTATTCTCGCATGAAAATACTACAAAAAAATGAATTCAAGACACGAGCACTTTCGCAGTCAGATAGTAAAATTTGTGATATATCATTAATATTTAATGCATCAGCCGATTCAGAATTTATTACTATGCAAAATGTTTTTGGGGCTTGTACGCAACAAATTGGGGAGAAGGATTCGGTAGTAAGAATTTCTAATTACAGCAACTTTTTGTTTATTTATTCTGTTTCGCACTTATGGTATGCCTGCCAGTCCGAGGGGCTGTCGCGGTACCTGCCACGCCTCAAAATACGTTTTTTCTTATTCCTCAGGCGACCCTTTCGAAGCTTTGAAATGTTCAAAAATGGAGATCACCATGGCAACCGACAGCGATAAGCTAATCTCCTTGAGAGTTTTTGTCCTCTGTATGTTGGCATTCGTTTGTGTCCGGCTAGCAGGGGGGAAGACAATGGCGTTACTTTCCCAGATCCAGTGACTTTAATCGGTACTAAAGTCACTGCATTCTGGGAAAGCCCCCGTATGGTCGCCCTTCTGGTCTATGTAATGATCCGTTTTTGACCTCTGCATTCTTGGCGAGCCGATCGGAATTCCCGTTGACAGGCTGATATATAAAGACCTTTCTTGAATACCGAGATTTTGTTTTCCGCCCTCCTGAAAACAAGTGCACATCTTCACACCGACACCAGATGGAACGAAAGTGCTTGGCGGCATTGAAAAATAGTTTCGATCTTGAAATACGCAAGAAAACAACAACAAAAACAACATTGTAAGAGATTCGTTGAAATAAGCATGATTTATAAGTGGACTGCAAGCACAGTGCCATGGACGCTTACATTGGTAAGGAACGCTTTCAAAGCACGCAGTTAAAGGAGCGGTGCAACGATATTCAATTGGAATGTTTTTCACTATACACGAGCTTACTGGCACTAGTGGGACTCAAGGATACTCGCACGCAACGCCACTGGCCAAGAAACTCCTTTGTTGCGGTGAAATTTCAAGGACAAAAGCAATTATTGTCGTTCAATCTCTCTTTTGCAAAATTTGATGACGTAACGTGGGGATCGCAGAACACCCAAGTGACGATATTTGAATGCGGTTCATAGATTGGACCCGAGCCCTGCGTGGGCACTCGATTTGGGCTCGTGATAATTACTAGCTCGAGAAGCATTCGGGTAGTCGCTTGCGTCCAATCGCTGCAACGACGACAATAGCCGAGCCATAACAATGTCTGGAACTCAGCGCGTGTCCTGTGCTTTGCCAACCCCAGCACGTGGCTATGATAAACATTGGCGGCATATAATCGGCTCCAGATCGCGTGGCCGCTTGTTCTGACTGCGAGTTGAGGGGGTGAACGCTGCTCGTTTTTCTTTAATTTTTTTTTCTGGGACTTCTATTGCGTGACGTGAAAAACGAACGCGTGTTTCATAGGTCATTAACGTCAGGGATCTGTTCTAAGCGGTATTTGCGCAAAGTAAAAAAATTGTTGCATCGCCCCTTTAAGCTAGTTGGTGGTGCATACTTGTTGCTTGGTGGGAAGCGCGATAAACGGCGTAACGCAGGATCCGGACGAAGAAATGCATAGACAGGGCGCTGACTTACTACGGAGAGTTTATTGCTGAGCAAAACCAAAAATAAACACGGGAAATGGGAAGGGGGGGGGAGGGGGAGGGGGAAGGGGAAGCGGGGGGGGGGGGGGAGGGCTGAGGAAAAAGAGAACAAAAAAATGAAAGCCGTTTACAAATCCCTGTAACGCCGAATTGGAGCGCAGCTCTTGAGGAGGAGTTGGGAAGGGTACTGAGGGGGGTCACGTGACCTGCGGGTAGTCACGTGACCCCGGGGGTCACGTGATCTCGGGGAGGGGGTCACGTGACCTCGGGGGATCACGTGACCTCGGGAAAGGGGGGTCACGTGATCACGGGGGGGGGGTCACGTGACCTCACGTGACCTCGGCGCGGCGGGGGGGGTCACGTGACCTCGGCGGTCACGTGACCACCCCGGTTACGCCGACGCCGACGGCGACGCCAACGGTGACGCCGACGCCGGCGCCGACGCCGCTCAGGCTGGAAAGGGGCCCCTAAGAGCTGCACTCTAAAAAGCGAACCGATAACATTCAGCACCAACCACGCAGACAGTCACACGAACCTGTCACACTTTTAATGTATTCTACTTCGTCACCTACAAGGACCACAGAAGGAACGCTAGCCCGCTCCATGAGTCGACATAATAT